GTAAATTGATTAAATAGTTCATAAAAACAAATTTTGAAAAAACGCTAGAACAACATTTGTTGGCCCAGGTGGGTCTCTAACCCGGGTCCTTCGACTTATGAGCCTCTTACCTTACCACTGAGCTATCTGTGATTGTTGATATAGAGAGTTTTCAAGTGGTGAAAGAGTAGCCGACAGTTGCAATGGTCGCAATATTTAAAACATTTTTGATACTACACAGTAATACGATTCTGTTAATCTGTTAAGGCATCATAAGTAGTTATTTTTTTGGGGGGAGTTAGAGAGGATACTGGTATTTGAATATAGATTATTTAATTACCGTTAGATTATTAATGCTATTATAATTGACTGTTATATGATTATAATTACTCTTTCCCCTTAAATTATTGCAAATAAGTTAAAGAATATTAATTTAAAAAATATTTGCATTATTATAATTATGTTGTGAAAGCTAGATCCAGAGAAAGAAAGTCGTGTAAACTCAACCATGGACTTGTGAAAAACGGTTGAACAACGGTTGGCTAGATGTATGATACCCAGCAATGCATATTAATATATTTCATTAACAATGAACTGTGTTGGTCCACAGTTGTAAATATTGGTTGGCCTAACTACGAGATCTACAGTTGGACCATAGAATAAATAAACAATTTTATATTACTTCATCTATGGTTGGACAACGGCTGGTTGGTTGTGGAAGCTCCAACCAACCATCGACCAACTGTCCCACAATTGGCCAACGTTGGCCCAACCATCTGTGCTACATATGGGTATATGAGCTATAAGTCCAAAATAAATAAGAGACTCAAGCCTTTAAGACTGTGAATAATTTGAAATTCCATTCCCAAATTAATTAAGTTATAGCTTTGACTATAAATACAACTTATGTATCCAATGTATGTCAATGGTTAAAACCAGTTTTAGAATAAAAACCTGCGTAGGCCTAAGTAGTTGAATTGAGCCACCTGTGTGCTACACTGATCTATCACGAAACTGTTTAACCAATCCAAACTGGATAAGAAAAGTTTTTGTTTTGTTAGACGTAGCTTAAGTTATTCTGTCATTAATCGTCACATACAGTACCAAAAACTAAGGGAGAGAGAATTGAGTTATATATTATAGTACTCTCTGTGAGAGGCTTGTTCAACTATACAAGGTGGTTGCTACAGCTGGTCTTTTTAAAAGGGCCCAAGAGGGCCTAGCCGTCAAAATCTTCAATCCATACAATAGTTAGGTATAACTTCTTTCACGCTTTCTTCTCTTGAGACGATCATTTTGAGAGGAATATGCCTTAAGACAAGGCTTTAATTGTTTGGTTGTTTAAATGTTTAATCGTTTTCATCATATTCCTCCTCTTTAATAACACCCTCCCATCATCAACTACTGTCCCTGCTACCTATTTGCTGATGACACCTCACTCTCCATCTCCATTCACAGTATAAAGGTTTAGAGCTCATGGGCATCACTAGGCAAAGGTCAACCACACAACTCAGTAGAACTCTTTTGGGTTCGTCTCCATTGCTGGCACCCCGCAGTAACCCTTGGGGAGCGAGCTGGCGTAGTGGTTAGAGCGCGAGACTTTAGTCCCTGAGGTCCCGGGTTCGATCCCTGCCAAGTCACCAATGGATTTTATCTAAGTGATAATGCCGCATCCCCTAGGTCTAGCCTGAAGTAATGAGAAAAACAATCCCAGGCTCGTGCCTATAGCGTCCTAGAAAAAAAAAGCCCCACAGTAACCCTAGAGATAATCAGAGTCAATGTTGGTTCCATCCGGTGCCACTAGGGGCGTTTTTGTTTCGATTTTGTACTTGTTATTTTAGTTATTTAAAAACTAGTTGGACAAATTAAACGAATCATAAACAATACATTTTGTTTTGTGTTTAGTAAAAACTGTATGTATAACGAATCGTTCTACGGGGACTGACCTGATGATGTGACTGTCGTCACAAAACCGGTCGTCGCAATAAGCAAGAAAGGCTATAGAACATGGTAACTGTTTATTTTATTATTTATATGAACAATAGCTCGTCCCCACTTAAATATAAATATATAAATAAAAGCAAACCATAAATCATAAACTTGAGCCTAAAATTTCGTCGACACTATTAGTGTCCATCATAGTGTCACCAACACGAACTTTAGACATGAAAAAACTAGCTTCAGAATCATAAATCAATCATCTAGTGTAAAAGTCAATATCACTCTGCATAGTCTGCAATTGGACCAGTCAATATTACCTCATGCCGGTTTGTATCGTAAGACCACTTGGCAATGTTGCAAGTAGTGTTGTTCAGTGCCAGAAGTCCCATAAGATAACATGGCAGACAGGTGACGCCAGCTCACTTATTCGCATTTTATTCATTTAAATATTTATGAACCTAAATTTATTAAAATGTTGAAAATAAAACATACGGAATTGAAAACCAAATCAATATGAATTGAAAATCTATATCTGTACATTTAAAAAGTGGAGTCAATATTTCCATAGTGCAGTAACCAAGCTTTCTTAAATACACAAATAATACGATTAGCTGCTTCCAAACAAAACAGCTATTACAACCCAACTTGCGACGTTACCACTTAGAAGCTTGCGGCCTTGAGTTAAACGTTAAAGTTGACCGTTGCAAGACTTGATTGTTAAACGATGGGGCTATCTCTGACAAAGCCCTGGATTTATACTCGTTTTCTTTCGGTCTGTAATGGCAGTAATGATTTGATGGGTTGCCGTCAAAGAACCACTACGACAACCCGCTACCTTGATGTTTCAGTCAGAGGCAACAACCCACCACCACAACAACTCAACACCATACATACAGTTATCCGAAGTGGTGGGTCTTCATGCACGCTAACGTCAAAGTGCCGCCCCGACACAATGAGCAACCACGTTAACTTGTCACCTCCACCTCAAACTTCTTCTCCTTTTTGGTGGCAGGTTGTCGTAGTGGCATCTCGACGCTCTCCCGATTCGGTTATGAAAATGGCCATTGATTATTTTCTCTAAAGTTGGGTTTTCCTAGGCGCGGAAGTGGAGCGCGGAGAGAGGAACGCTGAGAGTGGTCTCCTCTTAGACATAGACATAGACATAGACATGTTTTATTAATGAATTGGGTACAAATTATACAATGTACATCTCAATCGTCAAATACATTATATGGTCTAGTAGCATTTAAATCAAAACGAAAAATAATTAGTTAAATCTATTTTATTCTAAGATTTAAACAAATAAGTCAAATACAAATGCCATGTTGAATGAGATCAGGCAGACAGGAATTCTTCGGTACTGTAAAACTCACCTTCCACCAAATAATTTTTCAGTAGGTAGTTTCCCAAAACCATTAGAACCCAACCTTGAACTGCACTGCTTTACTTCTTCAGGAAGCCTATTAAAGAAAAATGGGCCCGAAAAATTTGCATTCCTTTCAGAAAGGGTCAGACGATGACATGGAGTACGAAGATCTCCTCCATGCCTAGTGGGGTATCTATGACATTGACCAACCGATGGAATATCCTTCAGATGATTTACTGCAGACATTATTGCTCTGTAGATGAATATAAAAGGCAAAGTTAAAATGTTGTTCTCCCGGAAGACTCCTCTGCATGAATGGAGTGGTGGTAAGCAATTGAGGATACGCACTGCCCTTTTTTGTACGGTAAAGACCTTATCACCATGGGAAGAACCACCCCAGACTTCAATACCATAAGTCATGACTGAGAAAAAACAGCCATAGTAGACTGCAACTAACATTTCCCAGTCAAGAAGAGGTTGCAACGTCCTAAGTGCATGGCAGATGCGGTTCAACTTGCAACAAAGCTGTGATACATGATTGGACCATGACAACATTTTATCCACAGTTAGACCTAAAAATTTCACAACAGAGCACTCTTCTATCTCGAACTTATTCAACGAGACGGATTCAGGGATCTTATTGAGAGTTAGGAATTGCATGAAAACGGACTTATCGGAGTTTAGTCTAAGATTGTTCAGCGATAACCAACTTAAAAGTGAACTAACTGACTCTTCAACTCGAGATTGCAAATTGGAACATGGACCTCCAAACAGTAAGGTTGTGTCATCCGCATAGAAGATTGATTTAGCTGAATGAAGATGTGCTGATAGATCATTAATATACACGATAAAAAGCAATGGTCCGAGAATACTACCCTGGGGAACCCCGAACTTGCATTCAGCGAGATGCGACCGAAATCCTGAAATCTCAACAAATTGCATTCTATTTGAAAGATACGATCGGAACCAAGCTAGTGGAACTCCTCGAACACCATATTTTTCCAGTTTCTCACAAAGAATATTGTGATTAACTGTATCGAAAGCTTTCGAAAGATCACAGAATACACTCAGGGCTGTTTTGCGCTGTTCAAGGCTGGATAATACATCCTGAACAAACTCAACAATTGCTTGAGTGGTTGAGCGACCCGCTCTGAAGCCATATTGGTTTTGTATGAGAATGTTATTTATGTCTAGATGATTCATTAACCTGGAATACATAACCCTCTCCATTACCTTTGATAAAGTGCAAAGAAGAGCAACCGGCCTATAGTTGTTAACATCGCATTTGTCACCTTTCTTGAAGACCGGGACAATCTTTGCTGTTTTGTAAATAGGTTGCTGTCTTGTCTTAGGTAATATAATGTTACTGTTTTCCTAGAAGCGGAGCGGAATGACATGTTAATCGCTTTTCCGCTCTCCCCGCGCCTCTTCCGCGTCCAGGAAAACCTGGCTTAAGGGTTTCGATTCCTGAGTGAAAGTCCGTTTTACCTCCAAGGTTCGAACTCAATTTTTTCTGATAAACTTTAATAATTTACCTTCCGGTCCCGGATTCACTCGCTGTTCAGTTCAGTACAGCGACTGACTCCACTCTGTTCTGACTATCTGATTGTCATTAAATGGCCGTGGTGGTCAATCTCAACGCTCTCGCTCTCCTCTCCTCTCGCTCTCAGTCAATCTCACTCTCAGCTCAGCAGCTCACCTCTCCTCTCAGACTCAGCTTTCTGCTAGCTAGACGGATTGCGTCAGTATGGTTTAGAGGTTAAAAGTTAATATTTTTCAAACTTTCAAAACATGTTCAATATTTGAGTTATATTTTAGTGAATTTGTATTAAGGTGTAACATGACTAATAACACCAACGGAAACCATCAGGTCACCTCTAATTTAGCGTAAGTAGTAAAACATAACCTATAAGATTTATGTTATAATAGGCTAATAAAACAGAGACCTAGGCTAGTATAAAATGATTAAGTAAGATAAGATCCTATCAGGATACTAAAATACAAAAGAATACCCTAAAACCATAAGTAAAATGTCTGATGTAGGCTAAATGGGCTAGGCTACAGAACACTAACTAAACAATGTTCAAGCAGTGACTTAAAGGTTAGGCCTTTTAAAGGTTAGTTTTCCTGTGACTCAGTCCATTGTCTGTATTAAATTTAGTAGGGAATAATGCTTGAAAACTTCTTGGTACTGGTACGTAATTCACTGACTCAATAATAATTTAAGTTCTTAAGTTATTAAGATTCACTACGGTATTTTTTTAAGGAATTAAAACTCGTTTAAGGAGTGGCTAGCCACTTGTGTGAACCTGGCAATAACTTGGCAATAAGTAGTACGCACGCCCGCTAAAATCTATTGCTGGCCGTTTTGCGGAAAAATACGTCCGCGAGCAATAATAACGACGATGCCAGTGTGAGGACACTTCAACGGACACGACAGTATCAACATAATGTACCTGTTGCCCGTATTACCAAACCTAAGTCACGCAGTTCCTTTCATTCTATCAGGATTTTCTTAGATCTTCTAACACTCATGTCTCCTGCCTATGGAAACTATTGATCAGTCTAAATAGTCAGTCTTGATCAGGCTGGTCTTGACTTTGGTGGCACTTAAACGTAAATATATCGTAACATTATAAGTAATTTATTTATTTTGTATAAAATGTAAACCCACTTCTGAAGTTAAGACCCATAGGCTACTTAAATCAACGATGCACTTACTACACAGTTGTTGTGTAGGCCTACTTCAATAAGTGTGATTTGAGAAGGATTTAGTGTAAATGTTTAGCACGGGTTAGCTAGTTTAGGCTAGGGCCTACTTTTAGCCTAAGTTTTAATTAATATTTAGTTAAATGTAAGTTCCTTTTTTTATTGCTAAAACATATTAAACTTAGTTGGGTTACATTTTGATTAGTGTTGCACTTTGTTTAAATCTTATTTTTAAAATAAAACAATTGAGCAATGGAGGAGGTTGCATAAAAAAATTGAAAATTTGTCTTTATTTGTAAAACCTTGCGGTTCCAAAAAGTCAGGAAAAATTCCTCAGATTGGTCAGGATAAGTCAGGAAAGATGACCTTAAAAAATTCTATGGCAACCCTGTATTAGGAATGTTGTCAAATATAGGTCTACACCAGGCTTCTGGGCTTAAGTTAGTGGATAAACTTAGGGGTATTTTAATATTTCATCAGAATAGGTATTCTGTTTTTATTTTACAAACCTATAAAACATTTTGATAATACTTCATTACCACTTAATAATATTGTTCAAATGGGCTGCCAAACGTTAAAAAGTAGTGTCTTATGTTGTACTCTTCTGTTAGTGCCACACCCTTGTTTAGTAAAAATCGAAGTGGCAATCAGCTGATGGATTTAGTTTATATTCCCATTTATATTTAGTTAGGTAGTTGGCATTCAGCACTAGTAGGGGGATATCATAAATAAACTATCAATAAACACCTTTTTAGGGCTAGCATAATTATTTACCCATCATAAAAAAGTTATTGCGATTTCAATAACTAGGTAGGCTATGGCCTTTGTCCTCATGTAGCCTATTTATGTAATTACTGTAGTTACTGTCCGCGAGAGTAAAGAAGTCCCCTGAGCTCCGGCCTATTCGTAGTTTAAAGGCGTTACGCATGAATGTTTCCCGTGACAATTACTGTAGAGCCCAAATCCCAAATACTTAGTTGATCCATGAATATTATTATAGTGAAGGCATATTACAGGTACATAATATAAGTACACGATATATTACGGATATAAACGAGTACAGAAGTTTCAATAGCATTCATCGCAATTAACAACTTATTATTAAAGTTATTAATCCTATTACCATAAACCTAAGCAAAATCAAGAATCAAGAAAACACGAAAACAAGCAAAAACCCTTCGTTTGACCCAATGTCTATGACAATCACGCGGTTTGACACGTTCACATCAGGTAACACGCTATTGACGTCTATACTTTTCCAACATTTCTGGAACGTTAAATTACTGTCCATCCAAGTTTCGTCCAGATAGAAAATTTTCCTTTTTTGTTCCCTTAGCTTTCTTATCTCTCGCAAATACCTAAACCTCCAATTATCGATGTCAGGCCTTTCAATCAAACATTTTCTTTTAGGACCAAATTTCTTCCACTTGAACCCCATATCTTTTAAAAGACGCCGAAGTGCCCATTCGCTCCATTTAAAATTAATTCTTTCTCTCAAAACAGGTAATAGTTTTTTACATGTAGGGACAATCATTTTGTTTTTGTAAAAATCGCGTATTACATCTACAATTACACGCCTATCAAAGCTATCTATTTGTACTTTATAGTGGTCAGACTTCTTGTGTTTTTCCCAGGTGTACAGAGTTTTTCATCCGGAGTTTGTTTGTTGGCTTTTCTAATTCGTTTAATAGTGTTTTCTGGAACTTTACAATAGTTTGCGGCACGTTCTGTTGCCTTTTCTATCGGCACTAATAAATTGTTGACTTTACATTCGTTGTCACAACACTCGACCACCCGTCTAATTAAATCCCTCTCTCCACTATGTATAGTAGCACCAAGTTTTCTTAAATCCATAGCTACAAGGTCCGTCCAAAACAAAACGAACTCATTACGCGAACACACGAAACTGCAATGAATCAAATGACGTGACCACATGATGATAATCCACTTACCAAAACGAAGATATGAGTAATTATGTTTACAACAGTTGTTTACAGACAGACATCGAGGCGAGGCGCCCAGATGCTTAGCGCCTGCAAATAGTGCGCGATAGGCCTACCCTCCAAACATAGCTGCTTATCGCTCTGGCTCAAGGGACTTCTTTACTCTCGCGGACAGTATTTTAAACCTTTATAATAACCTACGGTAATGTAAAATACCTTATAAATGCGGCAAGACAAGAACATGATCATTTATTTAAGACAGGAGTAATCATAATACCAACAATATACTTTGTACAAAACATATAGGCCTAGGCTATGTTAAATCTAAAGACATCCGTATGACACTACAAAAACTATTGTTACCAGTATTTTCACCACCACAAAACCTTTAGGCCTACAATGAATAAATCAGGTAACTCCCAGTAAATATCTAGCTCAGAGTCCTCTTAAACAAACAAAAATGTTGATAATCTAACTACAAGTTTACCCACAGTCCTTCTTAAAACTATGTCTGCACAACGGGCCACAACCAGTGCCATGAATCATAGATAAAACATACAGTCCCCTTGTGTTGCTTAGTCTATGCATGAATACTAGGTACAAGTAAACTTTGCTACTTGACTTAGTTAGAATTTTTACCTCTTGCTCTACCAGTAGAAACGTTCGAGGCTGATTGTGCATACTGAGAATTTAGGTAGCTGTTTATAATCATTAGGATAGCATTTGGTGGTATACAAGAAAATGTGTTGAAAACTGTTTTGTTTTAGCACATATTTTGTAGATCTTTTATTTATGATCGATGGCCTGTACTAACTTTCCTAAAATAAACTGTTAATCAAATTTTAAACCTTACAAACTAGGCTAGCCTACAGGGTTTTTACAAAATCAACCCATCTACATTCTGCTTCCTAGGCAAGTACTATTGCCTCTTTGCTATTCTTTAATGTTCTTGAAAGGTCAGGTAACAACAGGAGTTTTCTTGCTATCAACAACAATATGCAGAAACTACTAAGACAGAAAAAACCTTCAATGGTACACGTGGTGTCTAAGTTAGCACTATAACTGGAGTCTAGCAATAGTCGTATCTTCTAACCCCCCTCACACTCCTTTCCCCTCTCGCCATCACATACTACAATGCTTACGCTGGAGGAAAACATAACAAATAGGAACAATACATTTCTCCCAGTACGTACGTATGTACACGAACAACATACTAGATCTAAAATTGCGTTGTCCCATACGCAAGTTTCCTTTTTACCGACTTTACTTCTCTTAGAAAATTTACTGTTTCAAGACTCTTTTCGGGACAGTGGGGGTAAAACTGATGAGCCTTTAAACATGCCATCCCTAGTCTGTTTACCACAAGATATATCTTCCCCCTCAGCATTCCCAAAGTAATAATACACTATAAATTTAACTTTTTTTGTTTTATTTGTTTTATGAATTAGCTTTGACAAAGTTAAGTTTGTAATTGCATTCAACCTGTTGGTTTACAAATATTGTGTAAACCTGCAGACAGAATCAATTTAAATCATTCTATACAAACACAAACTGACTGTATTTTTATAACTTCAGATAAAAAAAAAAAAACTACTTGTTAGGCTATTTTTCCATTTATTTACCTTTATACCTCACCACCCTTTCCATTAGTTGTCAAAACATATCACCTAAACTATTTGATACATTGTAAACCTTGATTAAAATTGTACAAAAGAACTCTACATAACCTTCCCTGTTAACAGTTGAAGACTGTCTTGAATTATTAGATAACTTAATTATCTTATCTCTGAATTCTTCTAGTTCTAGTACCTTTAGTTTAGGTTAGAACATTAGTTGACATTTTTTGACGGAATTTGTCAATTAATATTTAATAGGTCTAAAAGATCTTTCCCCCTATAAACTTATCACAATTAAACTGGAATTTAAAGGTAAGTTATCTTACCTCTGGAAAACTTGTGCTTAATGTATTTTTTAAATAATTTAAGTTACTAATGTCTAATATTCTATAGTTAATTACTCGCTATAAATTTAAAATTAGGAAAATAATCTCTCAACTGTTTTGTTCAGTTCTTTATTTGTAACTCGATACAGTGAATCCCTAAAACATTATTCCTGTGAAGTCCATCCAAGTTGGCTATTTGATCTGTAAGTAATTCAATACAGTAGTAAGGTTTCTTTGGGTTGGCATCAAATTTACTATTTTTAGTTTTGGTAACAATTTTTCTTAAGTAGGAAGGACTACTTTAAAAAATCCTTCCAGTTTTTAAATTAACCTGTTTGTCAATACTTTTTTACTTGATCATATATTTGGTTGATTACTCTGTAACTTAATTTACTATTATATTTCAGAATGCAAATTTTAAGCTCAAATTGGGCGTTAATAAGAAAAAGAATGCCTAATAATTGTGTAATAATCTCTAACAGGCTGCGGACGAAGTTAAAACACTGGTCTTAGATTTTAACTAGCTCATTTGTCCAGACGGTTGGTTGGTCATTGGAGACCCTAATTTACAGACAAGCCTTGGACTTAGGCTTACATACAAATAAAACACTATCAGAACAATCTTTTGTTTGTTTCTAGGGACTTGAGCATACCTAAATTATTGTTAACATACCTATGTCTTACCATAGACTGGGACGAGTACCGTATGTTTTATCTTTGGTCTTGCATTGCATAATTCATTATCTACGAGTAATATGAACATTCCAGTTTAGTGAGTTAGTGGCTCAGTCGGTAGCGTCACGGACTTCGGGCCAGAGTCAGCATTGTCGTGGGTTCGGATCCAGGTCACTGCCGAAAACATTTTATCAGTACCGATCACCTTTGTACTGTACCGGCTCACTCCTTGCTTTGCTGTATATACGATCCACGCACGGGTGGTTAGTCTATGTGGACAAGCATTGCAAGGTTAAAAGAGGCTGCCAACCTCTTAAACAAAATAAAGTTTAATGGCTACTTATTTCCCTATGTAAAGAAATTCGCAAGAACTAGTAATTCTTTGTTTGTATACCTGTGTCACGTGAATAATAATAAATGTTTAATATCTGGTTAAGTTCTATAAAATGGTCTTTAATGTTTATTCTGAAATATGTAATACGTCTGAAATCCTTTTTTATACAATTTAATTGTAATTTTTTCAATGTTTTTGAGTGTTATTCTTGATCTAAATCCTCTTTTTAAGTCATCTATGTTGTAACATGTGGGTACCTGTATGCCACTAGATGCTTGATATGATAATGGGCAAAGTGTGACCCAAAAACTATATAGGGGTGTAAAACAAATAATTTGATGACACTTGTGGTCTTTAAAAGCTTGAAAGTTAGAGAAGCAAAGACTCAATTAAATCCTACAACTCCCCTATATGGCCTTATGAAGTAGTAACTTGGTGGCTTGAATTATGACATTCTTGCGATTTCCTCCAAAATTGGACCTGTAAAACGTTACTGCATAGGAAAAGGTTATGGCTAACACCAATAGAATTTGATTTGACATTCTTATGAACCGCATGACTAATAAGACTCCTGTTTTAATCTTGATTATTTCTAATCCAAACAAGCTCTCTTTCTTTTAAACCTGTTTAGTGATAATTTTTGAAATTGATAAAATATGACTTGTTTTACAGTTAATCAAATTACCTCCCTTAGTGCAAATTTGAAGAATCATGAGCAATTAGTTAAAACATATTACAAAGCTATTTAAATAAATTCAAACAGGTTTTAACAATATATTAAAACAGGTTGGGCGAACAGAAGTGTTAAGCTATTGTATGCAGGATCACCAGTAGGCTAGTGATTGATATTTATTGTAAGAGTTTGACAGGCCATAGTAGGGAAACTTAAACATTTTTTTTTTTTTTTTAAACCCGTAGCATTTAAATTTCACTATGTACTTTATGATTTCCTCTTGGGGGGTGTTGACATTCACGGGTCAGCAGAGGGGGTTTTGGTGGGGGGGGGGGGGGTAGGTTGGGTCCGGTTTGGTTAATTTTTGAGCAAAATTGTGGGTTCTAAGGCAAATTAATCAATTAAAATCTCTCATTTGGATTCATTACGGACCATAGGAAAATGTAAGATCGATAGTAAGACTTTGTGCCTTACCTTTACCGTTCGACAATTAGCCATATATTTTGTCACGGTCAAATTCATTAGGATAAATTAAAGAAATAATAACTAAAAATATGATTTTTATTTGTTTAAAAAAGGTCAAAAAGTTTGTACGCTCAGCCACAAAAGTGGGCTAATTTTTTTGAATGTCACGCTGTGTACAGTCTGTGCAAACGAACCTCGCTTGAACTTGTTCTATAAACCAACCGGCATGACATCAACACAGGTTTATTGAGCAGGTTAAAAAAACCTCTGTTAGTTTTTGTTAATAACTAAATTTCATAGAATTTCCGGGGGTGCTGGAGCACCTAATAATATTTGTTTATTTATTAAAGTAACTAGCTGGCCCGACAGACGTCCTTCTGTCCTAATGTGGTTTTATGTCAAATGCTCGTTCATTTTCAAGATGAGCTCGTTCGCATCGCTCAATCACGTCCTAAGTTCGTTCGGTACGCTCACTCACCTTTTAGTTGCAAATTAGCTGTTGTCATAAATTTAAAAAAATAATAGTGCTGCACCCTGTTGGTAAACCCATTAACTTTTTAATGCTATTGACCATCACCGAATCAAATTGTTTAGTTGAACCAGCTGTTAAGATTATTTTATTCCATTTAAATATGAGTACTCATAAGGTTAACATGGGAAACCCCAGAGCTACTGGGGAGGAGCCCTTTTGATGGATCTGCACCAAAATTCACACAAACCATCCTTGAATAATGCCTGAAAGTTTCATTGCAATCTGTCGAACGGTTTCGGAGTCAATAAAGGACAAACAAATAAACAAACTAACAAACAAACATACCGTACATTGGATTTTAGATAAAACTATTGAAACATAATTAAACATTAAAGAAGTTTTTTAGGCACCTAGTAATAAATCTTCGTAATTAATAAATTAAAAGTGAATAAGGAAAAAATTCAGAAAAGTATAAAAACTTTAAAATGACAAGCTTTAACCCCCTTGTTAAAAATTAATTAAACTTTTCCAGCTATGTAATTTTTAAGTGTTAATATTGGGCAATTGTAAAAAGATTTTTCTTCTTTTTAAAAGTTTTCACTTTTGATCCATCAAAAAGCTTGGCTACTGGTTTTTCTGATAGAATGTGTCAGTCACTCTATTTCCGGGACTATGGCACGTGAGATTGGAATTTGAACCAGAGAAACACGGTGGCAAGCAGGGCCCACGCCCTAGTTATCAGTTAGGCTACTAGGTTCAGGGTCAATCATTGATTGCTTGGTTACTTAACAGTAGCTTCCCACCTAGTATGGTATCTTACGCACTCTTGATCATGGTTGAATATTTTAAATGTAGATATTTTGCTTCTTCGAGTTGACCAAATGTAAAACTTACACGAAGCTGAGTATTTACAGTCGTGTCCTATTAATATTTCCTAATATGACGTGGAAGAAAAATTTGAAGTATATGTGTTTTGAAAGGTTTGTAATCAGAAAATTTTTATGTTAGATTTTTAAATTGTTTTGATCTATTACAACAATTACGGTTTTAACTCTTAAAATTAGAAATAAAAATATGTGTACAATATGTTGGATTGATTTTAAGAAATTATTTAAGATGCTAAAAATCGTTTTTAACTTAACGCCTGGACTTCATATGTTGAAACTGCAACCTATAAGGTTAATAGAAAATACTAAAATATTTGTATTTTTCAGTTATCCTCGCCTACTTAACTAATTATTAGTAGTTAACCACACGTAAGGTTTTGAAAGTGTACACTGTAGGCCCTACTTAACAATCAATTATACTTATTTATATTAAAATATCCTGAAGTTTGTGATGAATTCAAGTGTGTACCTGTCCAGCTAAAGCTCTCAAACATTAGTTTTAAAGATAAGATTCAATGAGTTAATTTATTATGATAATGAAGTTACTAATATTTTAGTAATGTAATTTATATGCTACAAGGATTGACGATTTTCCATTACTCCTTAACATAGGCAACTAACTCTCTATGTTAACTAACAGTTTATTTTTTGTGTTTAGTGGGTCGGAGTCATCGTCACTTATAGAAGAATCCATCAAGTCTCCTCAATCTACAGACATGAAACTCAGCAATAATTGTTGGAAAAGTAACAGAAAGTTACAGGTATTTTTTTAATATTAACTAGCTACATTGTCTAAAATTCTATGCTGTTATTAATTATATAATAACAGTTAAGTTGGTGCCTGCCAAAAATAGTTTTTCTAAGAAAACTTATGAGGGCGGAAAGGACCGATTCTGCATGTAGCTCCATAGTTTGCATTTACCCCGCTACGAGGCTCCTCACCGCTTACTGGCATCATTTGAGAGCAGAATGACACCATTTGCAGCTCTTTAGCTGACATGTACACTTCACTGTTTCAAATTAGTGAACCGCACCCTGCGTGTGAGATAAGTTCAGTTATATGTTTTTGACCACAAGAGACATATCCGATGCTGATGTTCATCGCCAGATGACTGAAGTTTATGACCCTAATGCAATGGTAAGAGGGGAAAGTGCAGAAATGTGCTCGGGAGTTTAAAAATGGATGTGAAAATGTTCATTTTGGAAGAAACTGTGTGTTTTGGTGGGTACCCAGACTTCTCACAGAAGACCACAAAGGAAAAAGGGCAGTTTTAAACTCCATAACCTGTTTCCACACTTTACTCTGACTCTTTGCATTCAGGCCATCACTTGGCGATAAATGTGGTCATCGGATATGTTTGTTGTAATCAATAAACTATCACTGAACTTATCTCTCACGCTGCAGGAGGTTTAATAATAATTTGAAAAATTAAAAAAAAACACACAGCAAAGCGTACAGTTCAGCTACGGAACTGCAAACAGTGTCTTTCTCTTCACAAATGATGCCAGTGCGCACCGAGAAGCCTCGTAATAGCGTACATACGCAACTACAGAGCTATACGCAAAATGGGTCCCTACTTTTAAAACCGCCCTCGTATTTATTCCCGCTTCTAGAATCTAGGTTCACTAAAATATTGCCATTTGCCAAATATGTGAGTCACCTTTTACACAATGTTCTACGAATATTTGTGCAAGTATGTGGTTGTAGGGGGTGTAAAGTGTCCAGTGTGAGGCAGCACTGAGCTACTACAGTATACCTACAGTTTCACTCTCCCTGTTAAGCTAAATCAAACCACAAAACTGTTTCTGACACTATTGGTTCCATTAAACATGAAATGCTTCTAGATTACAAGACTGTTTGATTACCCTCCAACTATACTAGGCCCGCAAACTCAGGGAAATTTCTGTTTCATAATTACTGAAAAAATTAGCCTATTTGTTTGTCATTGTTTTTTATAGTAAATTTCTCATTGGCTGTCTCATGATAAAATCTTTTGCCCTTGTATATTGATAATTATTATTCTATTTAAAAGTTGCAATTTTTCAAAAAGAAGGTTTACTTACAAAGAACACACTTCAACGTATTGTATAAGTGAATGTAATCTGCAAAACAAAAAATTTCTTTCAACGTGTAAAGTTTTTTGTATGTAGAATGTTGGTTCTTAACATGTTTGATGTTATTACCAACTCTCCCACCTGGGAGTTAGATGTACCACTCATTGATATGGTTAGGCCTACCGAAGATAGCCAGTGTGTCTCTCAGACTCCTGTGGTATATTTGTCAAATGTAAATACATACTTATATCATGTTTCGCTCCTATGGAATAGCCCACCTCGAGTCTTGTGCAGCAAACGTGTTACCAAAGCAAAATTTTACTAACTTTAAAGAATCAAGTTTACTTATGCTTAGCCAGTAGCCTCAACTTTTTTTATATGGGCCAATATTATCCAAGTTGGTTTGTTATCTTTAACCCTGCACAGGTTGATCAATAGGAATCAGTTGAACATGTTATTTGTATTGAGATAGTTAAACAGCTATAACACCTTAGTTACCTTAATTACCTTTTGCAAAAGTAAAAAAAATAAACGGTATCAGCAATCTCACACATACTTTCTCCCATTAGCTTGTCAACAAACTTGATCTTGGGTAAGCGGTGGTAGTAACTATGATATTTTATAAGGATAATCACAAAAGTTGCAATAACTTTTGAACCATATTTTTTACAGCAATAGGGAGCTACACTAGTTTGTTTGGAATTATAAGGAACATAAAATACTGCTTTTAATGAAAACCTGGTATTTTTTTAAATACATTTTTTGTTACTTTATGGGAAAATAAACTAAGTTACCATAAATTTTGAACTATACCTAGCTTTAAAAAAATGGTTGTTGTACCATATTGTTCAGGATTTAAAGGACTATAACATACTACATTTTTATCAAAATTATTCAAGCCATTTTCGAGAAATTTGTTTTATTTTATTTTATGGGTTTTTATGGAAAATCACCATTAAAAATCAAAATTTCAAAAAAGATGAAAAAAAACACCTGGAGATAGGCTACTATTTAGATTAGTATACCTAATTTCATTAAAATCAAACTACAGGGCCCTGTTTCATAAAACTACTAGTCTAGTATTTACTAGTCCATGGACTAGTAATACTAGTGTATTTTACAAGTCTACGTTTCATAAACCTACTAGTGTAAAATACTAGTTACTAGTGTAGGGACTAGTATTACTAGTGGTTTTTACTAGTGTAGACAGCAATGTGTTTCATAAAGTTTTACTCTTGTAAATTACACTGGTAAATACTTGCCATTTTCTAACAACCTCTCTACACCCGTATTATTTGAAGTAGACTAGTATTTTTGGAAATAGAGTTATTTCATTACTCAAATCATAAAAAAAATGAATTATTATGTTCTTTTTGCAAGTGCGAATTGGCTCACGTTTGCAATTTAAGATACAAATAGATCTGTGAGTGCTAAAATGATAATTATTATTAGATATAAATTATAATTAATAAATTTGGCGTAGTACAAAATGAGTGAAATTGAATTTTATAATGTATGTACAATCGCCCTATTAGAATTAATTGTAATTATAAGTTATCAATTTCTGTGAAATTTTAGTATAATTTTACTTCAGTTAAATTTCATGGTTATATCAACTATTTAGCTATCACAGAGAAAAGATTTTAAGCTTTGAGAGAAACCAAATTAAAACCGCATACCATATTGCATACAAAGATGTAACAAATGTATCCAACATTGCAACATTAATCAGATTATTTTACACCCAAGGCTCTCGGTTTTATTCAAAGACATTTTAATAGGAAATAATAGTAAGACAATTTTGAAGAGGAGTTGCATTGTATTTTTTTAGGTGCTTATTATTTGTTTCCCTAAATAGCTAAAACCCTGTGATGTACTAACAATTTTGTAGGCCTATATTTGATTTTTGGGCGTTGGACTGAACTGCTTATCATAAAAACATTACTTTTAATCTATTTTGGTATTCCGAATTTGTTATTCAATGTAATAAAAAAATTAGATGTTGATTAGAACTGTTATTTTAATGTAAAACATGTAAAAGTTTAATTAATGTAACTAAAGTATAGTGAGTGGTGCGGATTTGAACCAGGGACCCACCACATGAGAAGCGAAATCTCTACCTCTGAGCTACGCCCTGCAATAGCGCATATATGCCATGTTATACAATACTTGAAAACCTACTTCTCCATTGCTTGTAACGGTGTTGAAATTATTTGTTACATCAATAAACGTTTAGGCTTATTATTCATGGTTTGTAGACTCAAAATTAGAATATCACAGGATGGTTTTTAACCCAAATATTCTTATGCATTCGAATATTTGAAAACATAGGTTAAAGTACTTGAAAACGTTCCTAACAAAATGTCCTTAGACGATTTAATTAAATTCAAAATTTGAGCCTTCTTTTCTTTACTTATTGCAAGCTTAATTTTATATGTCAGAATAAAACAAAAAACTATACAAATCACAGCGAATGCGGCAGCAATAGATCAATTTCCACCCAACTGTTGAGCGCCGCAACTAGGCCTACAACCGGCTACTACAATCACCGTGTTGATTGCAGCGACGCGACGCCGCGCCGCGCCGGCGCGTCGGCGGGGTCATTGATGAACATAAGTAATAGCGTTTTGACAAATAATATGTGATTGTTTTACTTATGTGTCTATATAGTTATTATTTCAAAGAAAACATTGCGTTTCTACAACTATTTACTTTTTGTATCAAATGAAAACAAAATTTAAACCCTTTATAAAGCGCCAGAAAACCCGTGATTGAGGTTAGAAATTTGTTTTGAAAGTTTACCTTGTAAAGTTGGTCACGTGACTAGTATTTTTGGTCACGTGACTAGTAAAATACACTAGTATTTACTAGCGGTATAAAAACGTTTATGAAACACAAATTAGTAGGACAGGTAAATACGGGACTAGTATTTACTAGAATAGTAATTACTAGACTAGTATTTTTATGAAACAGGGCCCAGGTGGTCTCTGTAAACACACACATGGTTACGAAATCAGAAATTGTGTTCCAAACATTTCCCTCTGTACCATTTTTTGACCATTCCTTGCCTGGACTCTATGGGGTTTCAAAGTTTTGTGATGGATATTGGAAAGTAAATATCGATTGATCTCAATCTCAATAGATCCAAACAAACCCACAAAGTTTGTTCTTATTTTATATGAATATATCAAAAGATGTAACCATTTTTATTCTCTGGTCATATCCAGGTAAAGCTACGAGGATGATAATTCTTTTACCTGATGAATACCTTGTTTTTGCAGATATCAGCTAATTTGACATTTTAATAAAACCATATCAGTATGTGTGAGCTCATTTTATGACATTTAGAAATTGGACTTACACTATCGAGTTTGGTTTTGACTTAATCAGATATAGTTGTCATGACCTAGATTAAGGCAATAATCTGAAACTTTCATCCTTGACCTGCCTTACTGTAATGTTTAGATGTTTGTAATCATTAGTCTTCGGATTAATTTAATTTGTTTGTATGATTATTGTATGAGAACTTTTTAAATTTTATTTTAGAGTTTTTATTTAAAATTGTTTTTTTAGGTCGACATCTTTGCCTGTATGTTTGGTATCAGCGCATGGGTGTCAATCAATGGAATGTTCACTCAACTTCCAATCCTAGTGCAGACAGCACCTGAGGGCTGGTCCCTTCCCTCCTACCTCTCTTTGATCATCCAATTCGGCAACATCGGTCCAGTTCTGTACAGTCTGTCTTTAAAGCTCTGCCCACAACGGATCTCCGATAGTAAGCTGATATACTTCACCCTCTTCATGGGTTGTGCCTCGCTCATGTCATTGGGGCTGTTTTACGATCAAATCTGGGTCGTGTTTGATGAACGTCACAGCATGGTATTGTTCATAAACACATTTTTCCTCGCCATAGTCGGTTGTATAAGTTCAACACTGTACATGCCGTTCATGAACAACTATCCAGAGGTGTACTTGGTTTCCTATGTAGTCGGAGAAGGTCTCAGCGGATTTGTACCAAGTATCATCGGCCTGGTACAAGGAGTTGGTGGCAATCCTACCTGTGTAAACTCTACGTCACCGAGTGGAGAGGTGAACCTAGTTCCGTACACTCCACCCCCAAATTTCTCCCCGGGAGTGTTTATTTTCATTTTATTCTCCATGATGGTTGCCGCTATGGTCTCTTTCTTTATGCTGAACAATCTGTCCTCCTGTAAAGCGGAGAAAGTTCAAGATCCAGTCAAGAGGGATTCTATCGTATCTCCGGTTACTCCTGTTGAAATGTTTATGGAGCCTAACACTTTTACCTCCCCAAAGCCTCCTGATCAAGTGATCACGCCGCCCATGTTCAAAATGTACCTTGTCTTAACAACTATTGTCTCTATGGTGGCCAATGGGGCTTTACCTAGTGCTCAGTCTTACTCGTGTTTACCTTATGGTAGTCTCGCGTATCATCTCGCTGTCAACCTAGGAAACATGGCCAACCCCATCGCAGCGTTCCTCGCTGACCGAGCGCCTCACACAGACCTCTCCTGGGTCATTTCTCTTTTCTCCTTGTCTGGGATCAGCATAGTGTTTTCTCTAATGACAGCCGCCATGAGTCCAAACCCTCCTCTGCAGCATTCCGGCTGGGGGACATTTATTATCGTGAGTATTTTGATCACCCTAAGTTAGAGTTTGTAAATTAAAAAAATAACTTTAGTGATTGATAATTTAAACACCTGACTGCATGACATTTTCTTTTTAAGGCATAGAGCTCAGCTGGCTTATCTTAGACAGTTATGTATTAGCAGTTACCCGGTGCGCGTTGCTGCGCTAACAACTATTATTTTAAATGGTTATTTGTGCTTAACAATAAATAATAAATATGTTTACCAAAACAAAAATAGGATATTTATTTTACATAATTAATTGCCAGTGGATAAACAATTTTTTTTTTGTTTTTTTTTTCATTCGGTGTATAAATTAAGTTTTTAGGCTACCTACCACCACATGAGCACGCAGCATACAGCTGTCCATGTGAAAAGCATACATTTTCTAAATCTTAAACCGGTAGTAGTCAGGGATTGCCCTTGTGCCTTATAATAATGGTTACGAAAGCAAGATGCAAAGGAAATTGTAGTCGCTTGAATTCAAAGGGTAATTCGGATGAAATCATCGGTATTCTTGAGAGTAAGACTATTTCTCCTTTAAACTTAGGACTGATGATTGTTGCTTCGATCAAGTTTGGTGTAATTTTTTTAATCGTCAGTCTGGTTCCTTTGCACAGCTTGGGTGGATATAAGTTTTGTATTAGTATCATTGGAGTTCCTTCTTTTAATGACAGTAATGTGGTTGGTTAATTAATGACAAATTGGGAGGCTTTAGAATAGCACACATGATTATTATTCACTTAATCATTTATGTTAGATTGTGTGGGTATAGAACAAAAGATAAAAATAATAAGGCATTGCCATCCCTTTTATTGTTTGGAATACTTTGGTACAGTAGACTCCCTCTTATCCGGACATCGGTTTAACCGGACTACACTCGGCGGAAATGACATCTCTTTAAACGGACAATTTTTATCAGCACATTGGTTTAACCGTACTAGATCGGCAGGAAGTGGGCGGTACTGAAATGACTATTCTCGTAGGAAAGATTTGAGACCAGCAATCACAAGTCTAAATAGAATGCTTTCCTAAATTTAAGTCGAATATCACAATAAATGGTCCGTTTTAACGAGTTTTTGGGGACGTCGGTTTAACCGGAAAACCCGTTATCCGGGCTGGCCTCGGTCCCGAGGAATCCGGATAAGAAGGAGTTTACTGTCAAGGTTTTTACTTTTTATGTTTACATATTTAATAGTGTAGAATTTAAACATTGTTGAGAGCACAGGTGTGCTGCGATTGGGGTTTAATATATTTGGAGTTTGGACTTACTCAAAAATAAAATAATTTTCTGCACTCTATTCTGTGGAAACAGTGTGGCACTATTTCAAATCATGACTAATACGAAATGTTGTGATTATTCAAACCTACAAAACAGACGGTGAAAGTAAACATCTGCTTTTAAATTATATTTATTTGTAAACATTGTAGTTCCAAAAGTCTGACATTGGACCGCATAAAAACCTCTGGGGCGGAGCCTTTTTTAGACATATCTGCACTAAACTTCACACAAACCATCCTTGAATAATGCTTAGTAATGCCTTGAAAGTTTCATTACAATCTGTCGAGCGGTTTCGGAGTTCATAGGGTACATACATACATACATATTTCCTCAGATATAGATACTAGCTAAGAGCACTTTCAACATAATAAAACATAATACTTATATTTTTGTCCTAATATAGGAATTATAGGAGATTTGATTGAAGAGAAAACCAATCTCTCAATTCTCCTAGTTTTCATGGGGGTTTCCTTCAATCTACTTCCAGAAGAAGTCCATTAGATGAAATATATATGATATGTTTTGTAACCCTTTTATTTATCATATAATTTACTCAGGTAACATAAACTACCTGGACTGTGGACTCAGTGTACTCCATCACTTTTCAAGCAGAATTCCTTCCAAAGACTCAATGGAAACAAAAAAGTATATTTACAAACAGAACTTGTACATATTTGATCGTTCATAATTGTTTACTTACTTCAATCAATTACTTGCATTTAATTTATAAATCAGTATGTTAATTACATTACATATAATAATTTATCAATTACTTACTTGTTATCAAACTTAGTTGAATGATCAACCATTAAACATGTACTGGATAACGAGATTGTAACATCTTGAGAGCAAAAGTCCAGTGTAGAGGAGCCTAAAAGGAATTAAAAAAATAAAATAAATACATATGTGTTGATACCTACAAACAATTTTTTCAGCAAGCATCATTTTTTTTTTTTTTTTTTTTAGATTTGAGCCAAATAGTCACAAGATAATGCATAGAATCTAAGCTTGTTAGAACGTTTAAGTTTGTATTTCATTTCAACACTATCTTTTGAGTATCTAATTTACAGATAAGATACTTTCCCAGAAGCAAGTATAATATTTATGCTGAGATAGGTAGGCCTAATAGTGCTGACTACTGACTGTGCAGTGTTATTCTCAATCGTGCTTATCAACGTTGACGTCACTTTGTGTCATGGCTACATATTTATCATTGACAAACAGTTGATTCATTCATACCTTGCTCTAATTTGTAGCTATTCAAAACTTGCAACTCTGAGTCATTCAATCTGTTTTTGTTTTTTAACTCTATACAATCACTAAAAAGATTATCACAAATGTTTATTTTGAAGAAAAATATATGTGAGTTATATTAAGTAGGCACAGTATATAAAAATGTATAGGCCTATTGCATGCAAAGGGCAATATCATAGATTGGTTTCAAACTAAAATATTGTTACAAACTATAATATTGTTGACTAACCAACTTACTAGAGATATTTGTATAGCAATGAAAATTGTTATCACATTAATTTAACTTCATAAATTTATTTGTTTGTTGCAAGGTGAACACTATTATCTTTGACTATTAATACAACGACCTATTATTAAAACAAAAGGCTTGAGTTTTTTGACCACAATGATTTTGTTTAGTCGAACATTCATACTTTTTTGAAGAATAAGCATTACAGTAAAAGCTCACTAAGTCGACCGTTTTTTGGACCCAGAGGTTGTCCAGTTTGGGAGTTGTCCAGAACATTGGATTTAACAAATGAATTCATAACAAACTAAATTTAACAATTACATCTATGCTTTCATGAATATTTATACATATTGAGCAAACAATCTTCAAAGAAACGTAGAAAATTCAACAAGTGGGTATGGTTTTACCGTACTAGCTTTTTTGCTTGATCCTGTCTTTGTATCCTGACGTTTGTTACAGGTGGTCTGCTGGGTGATGAACTCTAGTCTCATCTCGTATGTCAAGATGTCTATCGCCACAGTGTGTCGGAGATCAGGAGGTCGCAGTTTGTACTTTTACGGTATGTCAACACAAGCCGGAGCCTTTATTGGGTCATCAATTATGTTCTACCTCATCACCTCAAAACAAATATTTACAAGCTACAACCCATGCAGCTAACAAAGTGGAACGGCTGCTTAGTGAGTTTGAATGGTGCTGGATTCACCATTTTGTGATAAAATCAGGTCCAGCTTACAGTAGTAGATTCCTTCTGAACTTTTTTTGTCGTCATGCTCAATTTAATTTGGATGAAGAATTGTTAGTTGGCTATAAATTAATGATCAATGATTAATGTGTAGATAAACAAATCTGTTGAGAGAATTTAGGAGTTTTTCTATCTATAAAATCTTAAACTAAATCCTAACAAAAGCTTTAATTTATACCAATTTAATTATTCACAAATGGACATTTAAAAATGTAACGAAAAGAAGTGGGCAGTTGTCCCTAAGCATTGGGTATAATAGAATTTATTTTTTAAGACCAAACTAGACACTCGTCTCAACTAGCTGTAGCCAATGTTTTGTTTTAGTGATTAGTTTAATCAGCATCTTACAGTGTGAGTAGGAGTCTAAATTATATTTACTCCTTTAATTATTTTTCGAACCTTGAATGTTGAATTTCCATCAAAGCAGGGTGTCATGGTGCCGGAACAAGTGGAATTTGAATAAAAAGGCTGCCCTATACCTCAGCTCTGTGCCAGGTGCACCGTTCCGACACTGCAAAAATTGCCATGACACCATTGCATAAAAGATTCGTTAGTTTATAATATGTTGTCTTTTGAGTTTTGCTCGGTTAACAAGTCGGTATTCAACAGAAATCACTATATTAGACAGCAGCCCACTCTGCTGGAGCAATGTCAATAATAATTTAAAGGTTGGCCACATCTTTGACATTGAATAAGAATTGTATACGTCCATTACTTAAATTGAGCATAGTGTCAGGTCAAGTTCTTAAACAAGGTATATCCGTGGACCTGTTTAGTGTTATAAATACTTACATAGTTCCAGTAGTAGTTTTAGTTAACATAGAAAATGTTCAATAGTAGTAGTTAATAACAGATATATTTTGGTAACTGATTGTCAGTTCTAAACAGGAAATCATTTTGGCAAGCAAGGAAAGAATAATAAAAAATGGGTGAGGTTCATAAGGTCCAAATTTCACAAAGTCCAATGGTTAAAATATTAATAAACAGAGCGTTTCACAAGGTCCAATGACTAAGATATTAATAAACAGAGCGTTTCACAAGGTCAAAATTTCACAAAGTCCAACGCTAAAATATCAAATGAACAGAGCATTTCACAAGCATAAGGTCCAAAACTATGACATTCAAATAATCATCGTTTTACAATGTCCAAATTTCACAAAGTCCAATGTTAAAATATCAAATAAACAGAGCGTTTCACAAGGTCCAAATTTCACAAGGTCCAACGGTACAGTCTCGGCCAGAAGTCGCTGCAGAGGTTGCCGTGGTTCGGTGTGTAGGCACTACACGATCTAGTTGTCTAGTTGCCGCGGGTCACAAAACATCATTGTGGGTCCGGAGATACGTTGTAAGAGAGTAAAGTAGTGGTATTTACCCCCTCCACAGCAAACCTGCAGACTAATCGAATTTCCATTTTCCTTATTTGATTTACACTAGAATATCTCCTTAAAATGATCACATTTATTCCCTAATTAAATAGCATTAGTTTAACAACATGTACCGTACTTAGGTTTGCTGCAACAGGGAGGGTAATTTTTTTTATGGTAATAGTTTAGTATAAAATAAAAGCATTTCCAAATTTCATCAAAGTATATTCATAAGCAAGCAAACCACAACAGTTTTTATTTATTTCTCCATAAGAATAACATGGTAATTTTAAATTTGCAATTATTCGTAATTTTCTCCGTAGCTATTTGGCGCATAACAACGCTTCAATATACTAATGTTTTTTTTTTGAACTCTACAAAATAGTTTGGAAAGAAATTGCAAAATTCTTTGATTTTTCAGGGTCAAAAATGGGAAAACCCAATTTTTGCCCCATAAAACCCTTCATAAACCACCATTCTCATAGTCCGAAATCAATCATTAAAATGCACGTATAATCAGTAGTTGAGCGTCGGCGGACAGTGCCTGCTATATGACCGTGGCAACCACTGTAGAGACCTCTAGCCCAGACTGTACCGTTGGACCTTGTGAAATTTGGACCTTGTGAAACGCTCTGTTTATTTGATATTTTAACGTTGGACTTTGTGAAATTTGGACATTGTGAAACGGTGATTATTTGAATGTTATAGTTTTGGACCTTATGAAATTTGGACCTTGTGAAACGCTCTGTTTATTTTATATTTTAACATTGGACTTTGTGAAATTTGGACATTGTGAAATGATAATTATTTGAATGTTATAGTTTTAGACCTTATGAAATTTGGACCTTGTGAAACGCTCTGTTTATTTAATATTTTAACCGTTGGACTTTGTGAAATTTGGACATTATGAAACGCTACCTAAAAAATGTGTGCTGTGATCAAAGCGGTATTTTTTCAAACAAGAGAAAATCTTCAACTCTTTAATACAGAAAAAATACTTTGATCATAAATAGCTCGTTATAGTTTGTCCTCAGTTTTTGAAATGTGACAATTGAAATAATTATTGTGCTCAATAAACATACTTATAACATTGGGATTAGGTTTTTTTGTGGCTCAGCCACATTATTAAGGCAACATGCACGAGATTAATAAAACAATATCATTGCCAACTTCTAATTCAGTAAACAAAAATTTTTTATCTATTTGCATATTGTTATCGTCTTTATAAATTATTACTACTTTGCTGTTAAACAAAAATGTTGTACACAATACACATAACAATTAATGAAATATTCCTATGGCCTAACTCTTGTTCATTTTTATGAGTTTTTATACAATTTCAATAAGTTTTGCGTAAATTTTATTTTGTTCAGTCATCTGGATGAGTGAGGAAATGTAGTAAGCAAAGTAAAATGTGAGGGGTCAGATTTTTTGCAAACTAATTCAAGTGAGCTTTTAATGGTAACTGTAGACAAAATTATTTTCTAGTCAGTCATTTAGCAACAGTCTGAGGTAAACTTATTTAAACAAAGAAAATTTGTTTTAATAATTGTTTAACCCCATCACAAATTTTGCTCAAGGAACAAATGAGTTAACATGGATTTTTTATTGAGCTAGAATTAATTTGCGTAGAAAACAAAGGGTTGAAGTAAATCAATCACTTGTGTGTGAAAAAAATCCATAAAACTTTGATTTATAGTGAATGCAATACCAGTGAAATAGAGTAAAATAATCCAGGGGTAGAGGTTAACAATTTGTATTATTTGTGGTTAATTTTATATCTTGGAAAAGTTCAATTTAATTTCCTTACCGAGCTGCACATAAAATTTGAGTTACCATTCTTATGCATTCCAGAGCCTATTGATACTTGGGGTGACGAGCACCAAACAGGAGAAAGTCAAACTAATATAGTATATAACTAAAGTAGTAGGAAAATAGTGACTTCATTTGCTACATACACTATTTTAGTATTCTAACTTCAGGAGTGTTTTACTCCAGGAGTATTGTAGATTACTCTTCAGAGAAAATTTAAGGTTGGTGTGCACCAGTGTATAGTTGTGTACTAAACTAGTAAGTTAATGATAAATTTGTGCTAAAATATACTCCTACCCCCTAGTAGGTGTAAGTTATGGAGTATTTCGTTTTAAATAGGGTTAACCATGTATATTGTTTTCAGTAGATTATATTTTTATGTTAACCATGGATTATGCTGAATAGGCCTACATAGACTATTTATTGAATGCACCAAATGCAGTACGGTTCGTGATAGGAGAGACCCTATTGAAATATTAATTATTATTGTTTAATTAGTAAAACAAAAATAAACAAAAAAAGTAAAAGCTAATTTATACACGAAAAACTTTTTCAAAACGCCCTAAAAAGTAGAAAATAGTTTTAAATATATGGAGAGAATAAATAATACTTGTAAGATTTAAAACGAAAAAAGTGCGGCGCATGTAATAGATAATAATAAAGAGGGGGTAGCTGTCGATTTGAAACAAATAAATTAACACAGTACATCGTGTCTGTATGATTTACATCTATATTTCCTAATTGATGTTAAAAATAGCTAATAATAATTCAATCTGTGAAGATAATCGTAAATAAGATATTGCATGTGCCCCACGTTTTTGTTTTAGACCTTACAAGGATTTATTCTTTTCGCAAATTAATATTTAAATATTAATTTTATAATCAAAATTAATTATTGTAAAAATAAATATAAAAAAGATAAAATTAAATGAAATAATTAAACAAATTAACTATTTGAACACAGAGGTTTTAACAATAAAATACCCCCGCCGCAGCAAACCTGCAGACTAAGCGAATTTCCATCTACACATCTGGAATTCCACTAAATTATTCCCTTAAAATTGTCAGATTTATTTCCTATTTAAATATCATTAATATTAATGAGTACTTAGGTTTGCTGCTACAGGGAAGAAAATAGGGGTTTTTATTGAAATATAGGGGCTTAGTATGAAGTAAACAAAATTTCAAAATTTCATTAAAATATGTCCTAAGCAAGCAACCTAACAAGCAAGCTACAACACTGTATTTATTCTCCATAAGAATAACATGGTAATTTTAAATTTACACTATTTTGTGATTTTTCCATAACCGTTAGGCATGCAACAATGCTTCAATATACTAAATTATTATTTTTTGAGCTCTACAAAATGGTTTAGAAAGAAATTGCAAAATTTTATGTTTTCAGGGTGAAAAATTAGAAAAACCCATTTTTACCCCATAAAACCTCCCATAAACCCCTGTTCCCATAGTCCGATCATGCTGGTTCGCGAACTCGTTCGAATAAATGTAGGTTTACACGTTTATACCAAATTTAATCAAAATCGGATCATTTTTGCTCGAGTTATCGCGCTAACGGACATATATATAAATCTTACTAATATTATAAATGTGAAAGTTTGTGTGTTTGTTTGTTTGAAGTTCAATCACGCATAAACCACTGGACGGATTGGGCTGAAATTTGGCATGATGATAGCTTACATTCCCGATTAACATATAGGCATATTCTTATCTCAAAAATCCTTTCGGGCTCCGCCCCAGTGGCTCTGTAATTCCCCATGTTAACCTTATGAGTATTCACATTTAAAGGGAATTAAAGAATTTAGTCAGCTGTTTGAACTAAAAAAGTTGGTTCTATGATATGGAAAAGCATTAAAAAGTTATAAGATTTACCAACAGGGTGCAGCACTATATTTTTTTTGCATTTATGAAAACAGCTAATTTGAACTAAGGAGCAACAAAAAACTGTGATTCGCAATGAGAACTGTCAAACGTAGGATTGTTTACAGTTATGTTTATGTTTTTCATTTCATGAATAATTTGTGATATTTTGCGAATTGTTGATAATTTATTTTTCTCTATTGTTTAGGTGAAGTGGTAGAACATTATGGCTATGGTAGATGTGTAATTCTATAGGATACTGTAAATTTAAAAAAGCAAATTTTATCAAACTGTGTCTTCCCTTATTGCAAACGCAAAGCTTGAGTATAACTGCAATAAGCATTTTATACTTATATTCCAACCCCGTACGAAGGACGGGTACTCTGCTAGTATATATATATATATGAATTTGAACAGATGGTGTTTTTGGCCTCTGGGGACCTCAAAACAAAAAACTAAATCGGTCCCGGGTCCAGGTCTTACCATGAGAACTACGGTAATAGCTTATTCCCTATATGGGAAATTCGCTAAAACCATTTTTAACACAAAACTCTTGAAGCTTAATACTTATTTGCACAAAACACAAATAAATATTGCGGTATTCATATATTTTGAGGTTATGTACTGCGCGGGACTGCACAACTAACAGAGTATTCACAGAAACTACAGTAGTTTCAACTAAAGAAGCATCCTGTACTTGAGCTCTCCAAACAAATCTCCATTAGTAAAATACTTCTGTAGTTGAATACTTCTTGTGTTTTAACTACAGAAGTTTCACTTACTAATGTAGTATATTTTACTGATTTGGTGCTCGTCACCCTTGGTGATCCAAACATCAATGTAACTTTTATTAGATGTAACTTGATTTATTAAATTTCCTTATGGGTAAAAAGCTATTACCCCCAGAAGCCTTAAAAACACAGTTTGTTACAACTTTTACCAATAATGTGTGTAGGCACAATAAACTCGTTAAAAAATTCTGAATTAATTGATGAAATAAAAATCTATTGTTTCGACCAACATCTATTTGATTGGCTTTGGGATCCTTAATGGTGGGGTTGGGGTTCTGAGTAGTTCTGTTTCCCGAAAATTGGATTTTAGGCTT